AAGTGTATGTTTGTAACATGTGCATCCTATATGGAGTTATTACATTTTGGAAGTCGTAATGTGCTTAATGGTCTTCCACAAGTACATCTTATTTACTATTTTTGAATTCAGGTAAGTGGATTCGTGATGAACGAAGAAAATTCACTTCTACCTCTTCAAATGTTCCACAAATAACTTTAATCGTCTTCTGAACGAGTTTGTATGATTCTACCCTTTAAGCTGACTTCGATCACAAAGGCAGTGCAGAATCATCGAGTCGAAGAGATTTATTTACTTGATATACTATAGCACGCAAGTGAGTAAAATGAAATAAGTCAGAGCTCAATAGCCGACCATGCCAAACAATTCCGTTATGCGGTGAAAACTTTGTTCACTGCTTATATGTTAAGCCTAAAATTCTCTCCTCTCGGTTCCTTTGGTTCCTTTATAGCAAGGATTGATCCATAATGGAAAAAAAAAAGGCATTTTGTCACAACCTCTATGGTTATTAGAGTTTACATGTTCATTGGCATAAATATTTAGATTTATCATGTTTAGAAAATAAAGCTTCATCCATGAAGTGGGTTATTACTACATCTGTGCTGGGAAATATTTTCAAGGTGGTCGACCTAGTTCACGCATTGGTTGACCAGTTACATTGTGAGTAACTATAGTGTTCAGTATGACGTCGACCAGGTTATGAAATAAAGATTTACTCGTAGTTGAGTGCGGATGGATGCCCATATGTTCTTATAGTACATCGCTAGATCGCTCCCCCCTGTATGCGGAGCGATCTAGTTCAATGACTTAGACGCTCTATAAAAAAATTGAGTTTTATCCTCATCCAATCAAGAACTTCCTGCACATTCTTCCATCTTGGTTCAAAAAGAGAAGACTAGTTGCGAAAAGAAGAAATTCCGAGTGGACTCACTGCAAGATGACACCTGCCTGGGTCTATGAAAGTCCTATATAGGGGCTATGTTTAAGTTTGTGGAGCTAAACCCGGCCGCAGATTATCTGGCCGGTAGTTGACCCCGATTTTGTAAAGACCCCTAGTACCATGAAATAATATAGTCGTTAGTGAAGCTGTAATGAATCGGAGAGCGTTGACAACCTGACAAGAAGTAGAAGGCATGGATCAGAAATCGTAAGCTCGCAGATTTGCTCCATGCAATAGATGTTGCAACCCGGGTAATCATTTCCCAAGTCGTGACTAAAACTCGATACAGACTCCATAATCTCTTGCCTCGGTTTGACTCCTCTCATTGATAGCAATAAATAAAGAGCGAAGCACGTTATAAAAGCTAATCCCTCGAAATCAATTAGAGAATCATGGCACTGTGTACGGCAGCTCAAAGACATCTCACAACTCCATCAGGTCATTCAAAAGTCAAATGACTCGTTTGACTTTTGAATCACCGAGAAGATTGTGAGTACTCGTTCATTCATTTGTATCTTCACTAAGACGTGGAACGAAACGAGGAAGTCCATCATAAAGGTGGCCAGATGTTCGGCCCGAGGGCAAATAGTGCCTTAGACCCTTCTCTCAAAGAAAGTCAAAACAGTGATTTATGTGTGAGCACCACTTGGTTGGATTTGGAGGTCAACGAGCTGACGTGCCCGAGAGCTCGTAATAATACTCAACCCAAAGAAATTTAATCGAATTAAAAGGTGATTCGAAGAACAAAACAGTAAACTCCCATGAAGTGAAATTTGGATGAAACCAAATGGTAAACATTAACTGCTCTCTAAACCTATCGGAATTGTCAGAGAAAATTATTTGATGTAACCCCAACGCAACTAATAAGTGTTGATGGGACCCAAAAAGTTTCATATTAAAACATAGGTGACCATGTACTATGGTCATCTATGTTTTACCAAGAGTTCTTATAACTGCTTTGTTTCTGGGTTAGAAAAACTAATGATACTCTTTGTTGAAAACATATGACTTCTCCCCGGAGTTCAGTTAATCCCTAGTTGTCCTTGAGGTACTCAAAGAAGGAACTTCATTGACAAAAATAAGCAGCAAATTTGACTTTGGCCAAGAGTTAAAATAAAAATAAAAATGTGTAAGTAAATAATGACTATATTTTATAATTCTATAATCATTATCGGTGTAAGAAATTGAGCTCTCGCACTATGAAGATTGGCAGCTATGGAAATTTTGACTAATGGGGAGAAGTAACTATCTTAGAACAAATAGCAAATTACAAGAGAATATAGATATGGTGGATTGAAGTAACGTCAGAGTGGTCTTATAGGGTAAAATGAACCGTATTAAGTCCCATCAATACTTCTACATTCTAATGGGTGCACATCAAGTAATTTTCTTGAATTGTTAAGAAGTCTAACCATACATAATAACTCTAAGTCAAAGTGTCTAAATCTAACACTAACATTTGAAGAATCATTAGATGTGCAAATGATCTTAGTAATTGATTCATGCATATTTAAATTTTTCTTTACTGAATAAGCACAAAACTGATAAAAATTCATTTTGTTGGCATGTACTCTTCTCCGAAAGAGTTAATCCCTTAGCATATAATACAATTTGGAATTTTTCTTGATATTGCACAGCTACATTCTTGGTACATGTATAAAATTATATCAGTATTCTGTATAAATTCATAAATAATGTTACAATCACAATAACCTGTATGTATTTCACGAATTGCATTCACTACAATTCATCCTATAGATTTTATCAATTGAGATAATTTTCCATCCATATAATATCTAACACATCTTTACACTGAAAATGAGTAATAAATTTTAAATAATAGGATCATTTTAATAGGATTTTTTTAATCACGATTCAACTTTTTAAAACATTTGTACTAAAGGCTATCAAACATTTATGAATAATGTAACGATAATGTAGTAGAGAACTATATATATAGTTTGATCAACACACATTACTGGAGGAGGAGAGTTCATCAAATTATAAACAAACTAATATAATTCATCAATAGTGTAATACATATATTGTATTAGGAGAAAATTTGTAAACTAAAATCAATTTTAAAACTTGTAAATCTTATATGCATGCCATATACTTATCAGATGCTATGAAATATGAGAAGACATATGTAACAAAAATAGTGTTATGTATTTTGACATCTCAACTCCCAAACCTACCAATGAAACTAACATATGAAGGATTTTCAATATAATTTAGACAGTCCATATTGTGTGTGTCATCTGCTAAAAAGAAAAATACAGCATGTGTCACGTCAAGGTAAAACACAAAGAGCCAACATTTTTTAACCCTCAAAACTTAAAGCTAGTTGAAATAATAATATTGAAAGTCAATATCCCCTACATGGAAAACCTAATCCAATTTATTGTATGAGATTGATTTCATGCACAATAAATGTTTACTCACAAGCTATTGATGAGACTACACTTAATTACCTTGAAGAAAGATATTGATGTAAATGAATAGAAGAATATCGGATGATAATTGTAATATCAAAAACTAATAACAAAACTCTTTTCATAGAAATTGTTCAAATATTCTTAGTTTACTCCTCATAAGAAGAAGGCTAGCACATGTGTAATTTACAACTGAATCTCCTTTCTTGTGACTGAGTGACTAAATTAACTTCAACCAAATTAGGCACTTAAGTTAATCTCTTGAACAAATTGGTATATAATTTCATAAAAAAACCTTGAAGGTGGTCATGTAAAATAGTTGAAAAGACCCTAAGTACATGTGTGGTTGTGTACGGAACCCAGGAAAAATGAAAATTATTCTAACATAATTGATATATGGCTAATCCTTCAGGACTTTTGATATACTTGCCGGTAGGTAAGAGGCCTACAGAGGAATTGTTTTCTCAAGCAGGATAACCACCAACAAAAGAGGAAGGTTTCCTGCTGCTATTACACCCAAACTTGAACAAGCTCCTATATTGTACCAATGGAGGCTTATCTTAAATAGCATATGGCTGAAGGCAGAAGTTGAAACATAGTTTGTAGTTGCTATTTTATTCTAAATCAAGTTATTGAAATTTAGCTTCCACCTCCCTACTCAATGTGCTACTACTGCTGCAGGCTAGAAACCCGAACGGTGTACTTATGCCGTCAGCCCGGAGAGCATACGGTCGGGGTTGTTCTAGCATGAAGTCTACTTAAATCCAAGGTATTTATATCGCATGTATGATTGCAGAGTTAAGTGAACGAATTTAGTTAGCCACTATCTAAGTCATCTATTTTCCATCTGTTTCCAAGGAGTGACATTTAACACAATGAGATTGTGTGAAAGTCAGATAATAGATTCAACCTTGTGCAGAACGTGGGACACGTAAGAATGCCCATGTTCCCATAGTAATGGGTAACAGCCGAACTGGAGGACAGATTCGGTAAAAGCATTTGTTCAACAGGTCAAAAGCTGATAGGATGAGCGATTCAACCTCGACAGTGGAAGTCCCATAAAAAACTCCGGGCATTGGTGGCTCTTCAATCACATAGTCCAAAGGACTCTCGAGTAAGATTGGAAAAAACAATTTCCACAGATAAGGCCAGGTCTGTACTCCGCCTGACGGACTGACCGTCTCTTCTGACTAGACCTGGGCCCTCCCATGTGGCATAATACGCGATCACGATGAAGCGCATGGCATGCCCATGATGAAGGAAGGGGGCCATGCAGTGTAGCAAATAGGATGGGAAGATCCCATCTTGCCGTCCATTGCTATAGTTCACACCTCATGTCTGCATCGTTAGATGACAATCTTGAACGACGGGGGCATTGCTAGTCGTTCAAGGCTACACCCCCCAGATTGACATTCTACTCAGCGAGAATGACTCGCGATCATCGTTGAATCTTTCCTGGCCCGCGTGGCCCGACGCAATCCATTTCAGGACCCGTGATCGACTCGACACCGAATGATCGTAAGAGGCACTGCACATCACGAGTGAGTAGAAGTCAACGCTTTGCACGAAACGGATTGAGGGAAATCCCAAAATCGCCGGAGATTAATGTGACCATAATACGGTAAAACTGTACCCTTTAGTACAGGACTGTTTTGATCGATTCGAACAGGAAATGGGTCTTGTCAGCGCAAGTCGATACGAACTTCAGACTCGTATAAATGCCTCGCCCAGTCTTCCAGAAGATCGCAGACTTGGTTCTTCCATTCCGTCTACAAGTTCAGCCTTTTGTTGCGAGTTTTCCTCCTGAATCGATCTAGCCATGGGCACCGGTAAGATCTTTCTGGGCTTGACCCTGTTGCTGACTTTGGCACCGCTGGGAACCAATGCAGGCCCCTTCGGATCGTCTCTTATTGTTGGCAGGAGATTCAACGTTGTCAATGAGTACCCCGCCGAGTCGTTAGCTTTGTGCCCAGAGGGGAACCCAAACTCTGCAGTTTTCTATCGAAACGGAACCGTCAAAATCACGGGCAATTTCGTTGCAGCGAACATCGGTGTATGCAGTACTCAAGAGAGTCAGTATGGTGTTCCCCCGACTACTACCATTTCCTACAAAGTTTACGGCGACATGGTTGTCTTCAAGGTCCAAGACCGTGTTGCATCTGCTCTTCGCGTTTTCAACGAGAACAAGAAGATCGTCAGTGTCGGCTTATCGGGTTATAGCGTGTCTCAGCTCACTAATGTTGGACCTGCTTGAAGTCCGGACACTCGAGGCGAGTAGAATTGAGCGGTGAATTTATCACGTACATATAGTATCTCAAGTGAAACGATCTTGATATCATCGAGTTACCTACTTTCACTTCTTCTGTTGATAGACTTCTGTTATCACACACTCAGACAAAATGGAGATGGGAGGCTTGAACTCATGCAACATGTCACTCTCATGTAGCGGGGAAGCCTCATAGTAAGTGAGGTGTCTCACGCACCGTTCATTGCATGCAAAATTGTTGAAACGAAGGGGTTCAGGGTGAAGCACATTGTTCAAGTTGAGTCAAGGCCGTGGCCTTGACAAAACATACCTTTATACCTGCCCTGATATCCATAGTTCTGTTTCTGTGTTATATCTGCACAAGTGAGCTACGTTAAGTGCGAGCTGGATGTGAACTGTCCGTTAAGCAAATTGAACTGTATTCATTACTGAACAATGTTCACGCCTTAAGAAGACTTGCAGAAGACCTTGTCATATCATTAAGTCGCATGCGATTCTTTTTGTCCATTAGGATTGTTGCACACAAGAGACTTAGGCGCGGAGAGCTATGGATTCAGTCGACACTTCCCATCCTCAAGAACGAAAATTGACTGATCCCTGAGTAGTCGACGGATTACTTACTATTGGATTCTCGACGTATACCATACGTCCCTCAAATATGCAAAAGGGGACTGGAGGGAGAGCAGCGACGATGGTACGAACCCTTCACACACACCCTTCACGACATTCAGCATACGTTTGTAAAAAGTACGACTCCGTTGTTGCTCAGGATCAGCTTTGGGGCAGAGAGTTATCACTTCCAAGTCCTACTCTTCGTAGAAGTAGAACAGCATATGAGCTCGCATTGTCAATAACAAGACGTGAGAATATACTGTTAGCAAAGATATGGACAAGAAACCCTGATGATGAGCATGATCCATGACATTGAATGAGCACCATTTTAGAAAATGTGAGAGGGATTTTAAGTGGCCCCGATGACGACCCTTCAAGACCAACGTAAACGGAAGACATCGACCTACCTCGCTCTTCGGAATGCCGGCAAATACTCTCTCCACTGCCCGTCAGAGAAGAAACGAATTTTTCATTTACTGGCATATACAAACTGTGGTGACTGTTACAATAGCAATGGTTTGAATGTAAGATTCCTGTGCTTCTAGCTCTTTGCGAGTACAGGACTCAGGCCCGAGAGGCCCAATCAATTCGATCGAACCTATCTAATCATCGCAGGCCTGGCTGTGGTAAGCTCCTAAAGACCATCCAGGAAAGACGGGTCTCGACATCCTCTTCTCGTCACTGCGATTCCCTCCTGGAACGGTCACGTGCTAAGCGACTGAAGTATAGACATCTAGTGGGTTAATGTAGTTCTGGCCCAAAGAGAGGAGCTCTTGATGGAAGAAGACTTCACTGCTGTAATGCGGAAAGTTTGACAGAACTACATTAACCCACATCTCCGAAGACCCTCGTATCTCTCCATGATTGGTGAGTCAAATTGGCGGTCTTGCGCGTCCCTAACTAACCCCCGTCTGTCTGTCTTAGATCTGTTATTTAAAAGGGGAGTGCAGCTACCTTCTCTATCTCCTCTGCAAAAGATGGTACAAACTTTCCTGGATAAATAACGATATGGGCATCTTGACTTCCCGAGCTACTCAGTGGTCGATCGTCCCGCACAAGGACAGGACTCTGTAAAGCTCCGTTGAAGATTCTTGTTGACTATCCACCTAGTCACCTCCGTCACCTCTCGGCGTCGGTATTCTGTTGCATATTCACTAACTGAGCATAGATACTGCCAGCTTTGTTCATCAGGTAATCGTGGTTTCCTAATTCCACTATGTGCCCGCCGTCCACTACTGCGATCACGTCCGCATTCTTAATGGTGGATAACCTATGAGCAATCATCACGGTCGTACGACCTCGCATCAGCCTATCCAGAGCATCTTGGACGACTTTCTCAGACTGGGCATCCAACGCACTCGTAGCCTCATCCAGGAGTAAGATAGCCGGGTTCTTCAGCACCGCACGAGCTATCGCTACTCTTTGTTTCTGTCCTCCCGAAAGCTGGACTCCTCTCTCTCCGACGTCGGTTTGGTAACCATTGGGAAGGCCGCTGATGAAAGTGTGCGCGTTGGCTGACTTGGCAGCTTCAATCACCTCGCTTTCGCCTGCGGAATCCTTCCCGTAGAGTATGTTGCCATATATAGTGGTGGCAAAAAGAGCAGGCTCTTGTTGCACGAGCCCAATGTGCCGTCGTAATGAACGCAATCGAAGCTTCTTTATGTCCACTCCGTCGATAAGCACCTTTCCTGCTGAAGGATCATAAAATCTGGCTATCAGCGATATGATGGAGCTCTTTCCTGAACCACTGGCTCCGACTAAAGCCAGGCTCTGCCCTGACTTCACCTTCAGTCGAAAGTCCTTGAAAATCTGAATATCCGGTCTGGAAGGATAGGCGAAGTCAACGTGCTTCAACTCTATATCTCCAGAAATGTGAACCACCTCTTCCGCATTCGGATCCTCGGGATCAATTTCAGTCTGACGATCCAGAATCTCGAACACTGAGGCAACGGCCTGAGAGCCCTTCACAATATCCGGTGCAAGAGCCAGGGTCTCTGCGACGCCGAAGGCAGTGATGACCAGCACCATGAAAGTTTTCATGATGTCCCCGAAGTTTGCTTCACGGCTAGCCACCAGTTTTGACGAATACCAGAACGCTAAACCGTAAGAACTGTACATGGTGAACTGGGAAAATCCGTATCCGAATCCAGCAATCTGTCCACGAAGAACGGACTTCTTAGCGGGCTGGGCTAACTCGTACTGGAAGAGTTCCAGCACCTTATCCTCAGCACAGAAAGCAGCAACTGTTCGGATGTTGCCCACGGCTTCACCCGCAACCATGCTAGCCCGAGCATAGGCCTTGGCCAAATCCCCGCCAAAGCCCTTCAAAAAAAGTTGCTGCATACCAATAGAGGTATTGTTAGTGACGTGTTGAGTGAGACTCTATCAGACAGTGTCTTAAGTTTAATCAATATCTTAGGGGAAAAACATCGCCTTCGGTGAAAATTACAGTCAGACTATGTGCTCTCTAAACAAGTGTTTTTTTCCTAAGAAATTGTTCACGAATGAGAGACAAAACACTAACGAAGAGATTGAGCAGATGCTACATGCGGCTTTCCACCTATCTCAACACTGACACTACTCCGCTCCACATTCTCAATGACGTTCAGAGATGTCACAAACAACAACAATTTTTATTCAAGGGCGGGGCAAGACGTCAAAGAGATTCAGTCCTGCAGCTGAGCTACATCGTTAGAATATTGCTGACTCAAACATGCCTATACGTTCCTGCTGCAGGTCCCAGACTCACCTCCGCAATAGCAGCCCCAATCAGGCAAGGAAACGTGGCCAGTATGACAAACGTAACCTTCCAGCAGAGAACAAAAGCAATTACGAAGGCAGTGGTCATCAAAGCCAAGTTTTGTGCTATCGTTGATAATCGATCACCGACTGCAGCTCTGACCAAGGTCGCGTCTGACGCAAGTCGGGATGCAACCAAACTGCTGTTATTTTCATCGTAATCGAACCATCCAATTTCGAAAGAGAGGATAGCTGCCACATAAGCACAAAGACGTATGTCAAGAATCGAACGAGGAATATCGACAGAGAATCTTCCAATGAATTCGATAATATTACAATGCAGAATTTCGTTTGTCACCAGAAGCAATGGCGATTGGCATCTTTGTACGCCGGGAACAGTACGTAATCCGCCAAAGAGAAGCATAAACGTAAATCTGCAAGCGGACTCACATTTGAACATCATTTCTCTGACACGCATAGTTAGGCGCTCTCCCATGATTCCGTAGTAGTAATGCTGCAGAATGTAGATAAGAACCGTCACAACTGTTGCGGCACTGAATATAGTGCAGATTCTTCGTACTTCACTCTTGATGAATTCTTGATCAGGATTGTAAAATGTGATGAGCATCTGAGTGATGGCAAGTGCGAACAGTGGAGTTTCTCCACCAGCCATAATAGCACCAAGCGTCCCAAGTACGGCGTAAGGCCACTCTGGTGAGTTCAGTTTAAAAAGCCGCCATAAAGATGGCTTTGGATTGACGCGCTCGGGAGTAGTCAGCTCTTCGAAATCGTTCTCAACGCCGACTTCTGATTCCGTATCATTACCACTCCTCTGTCCTTTCCTAAAGCTCCATCTATTGCTCCATCGGTTCGAGAGTCGACCAGAGGAGTGTCTGCAAAACCACCAGACGAAGGCGACAGAACCTATCCATTAGTAAACACTCCTCCAAGTGCGAGCTTTCAAAATATTTCGTAAGGTAAAGCAGTCAGATAACTACAAGCAGAAGATAGTCTGCCACACGAAAACCAAGCACAGTCGCACAAGCCTAATTCCTCACTATGTAGTCGTAGAAATACGCTGACTGACGTACCTGGAATTGAAAGACACAGATGGTCCATCTCCGTAACTGCTCTGACTTTGACTCTTGGTGTGCCTGTTCGACTGATTGGGTTGGTACTTCGCTCTCTCCTGCAATTTTACGAGCATCGCGAACGCACCGTTCTTCTGAATAAGATCATCGTGAGTGCCAGTTTCAATAACCTTGCCCTCCCTGACCACAGCAATCATGTCTGCATTGCGGATGGTGGACAGGCGGTGCGCTACTATGATGGTGGTTCTGCCGACCATAAGAGAGTCCAAGGCTTCCTGAACGACACCTTCTGATGCTGCATCGAGTGCACTTGTTGCTTCATCTAGAAGCAAAATAGAGGGATGCTTCAACATCGCCCTGGCAATTGCTATACGCTGCTTTTGTCCCCCAGACATTTGGACTCCTCTTTCACCAACCTGCGTCAAGCACGACATTGCTTCTCTAAGTACAAAGCTAGGGACGAAAATATAGGTTGCATGCGTGAACAGACCGTCGACATTTGAAAGGCCAACCAGTCTAGTCACAGAGTGTTAGCCTTGAGTTAAACATCAAATTCCTTGAGGTGAGGAACCGAAATTTTCTACGACTTGTTAAGTGTACAAACCTGGGTTTCATAACCTTCCGGTAAAGTCATGATGAAAGAGTGAGCATTGGCAGCTTTGGCTGCATCTTCGACCTCTTGCATGGTTGCACCGTCTTTGCCGTATAAAATGTTATTCAGAATGGTTGTCGCAAATAACGCGGGTTCCTGGTTCACGAGTCCAAGCTGATCTCTTAACCATTTCAATTGCAAGGACTGGATGTCCGTGCCGTCGAGAAATATGCGACCTTTCAAAAGTTAAAAACAAGAGCTGTCAGCGCTGGAAGGAAGATGGATGTCGCGATGAGATTTTAACAGTTTTATTCACTAGAGAAAAAAGATGACAAACCTCAAATGTAAGAACGTACACGTATCAAAGTGAGAAGCAGGGCAAAGAAGCACACAGTTGGACGACACGACTCATCTGCGAACCCTTCTACACGCAATGCCTGCTGTAGTATTAAACGAGTAATGAACAAACCGACTGCAATTATATTGGAGCTTACCAGATATGGGGTCGTAGAATCTCTCAATTAGAGCTATGACTGTGCTCTTCCCAGACCCACTGCTACCCACAATCGCTACAGTGGCTCCTGCAGGGATAGTGAGATTAAAATTCTGAAAGATCATCTGATCAGGACGTGCAGGATAGCTGAACGTAACGTC